TTATTAAAATAATAATTTGCCCAATTATAATTATTTACAGATTTTAACAATTATTTATATGAAATAATCATTAAAATGCATTTTTACATGCTTAAATACTTAGGAAAATGGTTTTAAATAGTACACAGTATTGAAAAATTATGAACTTATTAGGAAATCAATATTTCATACAATATTAATTACTGTAAAATTTTTATATTTTTCTGAACTGTTTTAGTATTTATTTAATACTTTAATGATTAAACAACAACAAAATTCGGGAAAAATAATAAATGATTCCCAAAAATTCTGTAAAATTAACCATAGTTTTATAATATGATATAGAGCCCAGTGTATAAGTTTCGGATATTTGTGACTATGGGAAGTATTTTTTTATATATTTCATTATTAATTAATCAATAAAATCATAAATAATAGTAAACAGTAATATAAATGCATGAAACTTCATAAATTATGTTTAATCAATATATTGGTCATCCCAGAATTTTCTCAGAATTTATTGAATGCAAAAAGTATTTTATGTGAATTATTGCCCTACTTTATTGCAATAATTATAGTAATTCAATAAAAATAAGTTATTTTCTGAAAATTTCCAGAACTTCTTATTTTATTGATGAGATTCTGAGAAAAATCAAGTTTATGCATAAAATGAGTTTTAGATATTTTGGTGGATTTAATTTGTTTCTTGTATGAATTTGAAACTTTTAACAACATACCTTGATGAATGCTTCAAGATGGATGAAGATTTGAGTATAATAGATTGTTATTGGCTGGAATATGAGTATTTCTTAGATGAATTTCGAGATTGAGAGTGAGAGAAAGAATAGAGAAGGTTTAAGTGGTGAAGAGAATAATGTGTTGGGAGAAAAAGGAAAGGAAAGTGGATGAGAGGTGTGAGTGGGAGACCATGAGAATAATCTTTTTGCTTTTGGTGGTCTTCATAATTTCCCACTAACACAAGCATCTTTTACATAATTAATATAAGAGTTTTATAAAATTTAATGTAAAGTTTATAAAAATAGAGTTTTATAAAATTTAATGTAAAGTTTATAAAAATGGAGTTTTATAAAAGATGAGTTATTATTTGATTATAACAATCTACTTTGATTTGAAGTTTAATTATAGCATTCAAGTTTGATTCTTTTAAATTTAATTAGAGCATTATACTTTGATTTGATTTTAATATGGTATCATAATTTAATTTGATTATAGTTATAACGTTGTACTATACTATGTTGCTATTAACGTCAATTTATATCGTAGTGTATGAGTTTTGATCCTATTAGCGTCAAGTAATCTTGAGTAGGGTTTGAATGAGATTGAGAGAGGTTTCGTTTGTGATCTTTTTGAGTGTCCGACTTCGCAACGCAAGGTCCATAGACCCCGTTAAGCCATGATTTAGTGTCCTACACAATCCCGATGATTGTGCAATAGTGTTTTATCGCTTTGGTTCATTGTTTAGCACTGTTAAGGCTAAGGAATATCAAACACATGAACTTTCCAAATGATGTTTTCTCATTAAAATAGCGAATTGTACAGTGATTACATAACGTAAACCCTAACATACAAGGGTTAATGGAGTTGACCGGTTTAACTTGTTGACTTTGTTTGACTTTGACTTGACCGAAATTTGATGGTTGTCACATTATCCCCCCGTTAGAGGGAATTTCGTCCCGAAATTTGCATTTTGACTGGGACTTCAAGAGTTTGGAAAAGATGTGGAAAACGTTTCGTAGTACAAGAAATTAATTTTGGTGAGGAACAACCCGCCTGATGTCACATAACGACCTTGGAAATTTCTTATTGTAACTTGAACTGAGTCGATTTAAAAGGAGTTTATTGTTTTGGGATGATAAAGTATTCTATGTGTGCTTTTATACTCCCTGTTTTATCCTTGGTATTACCACTATGAATATTTTATAACATAGTTAGCGAGTTCCATCATTACTTATGTTTCAACAAATTTTGACGAAATTTGCATTATAAGTCCTACCAGTTCTTTTATAGTAGCTTGGCGTAAACTAGTCGTATATCATTAAGATTGCAAGGGCATTCGGATGGGTGACCCCGCCTTAAGCCCACAACCAAACAAGGAACAGAGAATGAGGCGGAATCACACATTCTAAGTCCATAGAATCTTAATGATATATGACCATAATGTTTACACTAGCCATCATAGATTCCAGGGGCGTAGTATTATTGGGGCCAGGAGGGGCAGTGGCCCCCTCCTGATTTTTGGGCTAGAAGTAGGAATTGTAGTTCAAAATAAAATAGTTATAAGCCTGCTATCTTCAAACTTGGGCTTTGGCCCCTCCCGATTCCTAATCAGAATTGTCCAATACTCCAAATTCTCCAAGTGACCAAGCGGTATCAAGAAATCAAAATCGATTCATCCCTATTTGCCCAATTCGCTGCCTATCTCGCCTGCTGTTCGTTTGTCGTTGTCTCGCCAAGTCAGTCGCCTGGTCTCACTCTCGCCAATCGCCATCGCCAAGTGCCCAAGTCCCCATTCTCACTTCACAGAAATCATGTATGTAATCCCGAGACCCAAATCCTGTTCAGCTGTTCTTTCTTTTCTGATTGTAAGATTGTTGATTGTTGGTGTTGGCGTATTGCACTGCTGCTGCTGTTTTCTGTCAATCTGTTGCCTATTTATGCGTTACTACTGTCTTACTGAGTTTCTTTTTAATTTGGCTGTCATTTGCGATTTGGCGATTTGCCAATTTGATTTATAAGTTATGAACTTATAGATTTGGTTATTGTTGGTGTTGGGTCTTGTACTGTTGCTGCTGTTTTTAGTTTGATTTTTTTTTTATTTTTAGATTTCATTATTGATTTGGTTATGCTTAACAGCTAGACAGCTTCAAACAAAACTGAAAAGTGAAAACAAAGATTGATTTGGTTATTGTTAAATGAGTTATTGGTTATTGTTCAAATTTTGATTTTTGATTTTTTTGATTGAATCAATTGTTCCTTCATTTTGATTTTTCTAGATATAATCATGGGAAAGATGAAAACATTGAAAGAGAAATTGCTGTCTGCTTACTAATATATCATTCATAATCTGTTTTTAAAGATATTAAAGGCCGTCGGACTGAGTTGTAATTCTTTTTCTAAGTGTTTTTGGTGTTTATTTGTTGAAAACAATCTGTTATTATTATTATTATTTTTTTGTTAATTTCAGTTTATAATATTTTCGCCCCCCCCCCCCCCCCCCAAGTTAATTGTTCAAGCTCCGCCACTGATAGATTCACTAGTAAAAACCCTGAGTTTTTACATATATGATAAGACTTATTTGGGTTTTGCCGTGTTCTCAAGATTCATGGTTTATATACTTGAATTGATGCTAGTTTTAGTAATAAAAAGAAATTTAGAATTTAAACGTCGATGTTAGAAGCTTGTACAGATATTTAAGGGGTTAAAAAAAAATAAAGTTTTATTAGTTACCTATAGCGACACACAAGTCATAATTTGCATGTGTGAAGACTTGGAGTACTTTCTAATTGGTTCATCTGTGAAGACTTGGAGTACTTTCTAACTGGTTCAAATGTGAAGACTTGGAGTACTTTCTAATGAAAAATGTGCTACCGGGGAAATTCATCTAAATATTTCTCCCTCCAACATAGGCCCTTTTGCTCGGGACAAATAATCTTTTCCAACACTTTCTTGAGGTGATTGGCAAGAACTTTTGAAAGAACCTTATATAAACATCCAATAAGATTAATTGGCCTAAAATCTTTCAACATAAGCCGGTCACAAGATTTTGGCAATAAAGAAATGAAAGAGGAGTTACATCCTCTGGCCAAGGACCCATAAATTTCAAAATCTTTCGTAAACAAAGTAACTTCAGATTTTATCAACTCCCAATAGTGCTTCAAAAATTTGAACGTGAAGCCGTCACGACCCGGAGCTTTGTCGCTGCCGCAACACCAAATAGCCTCCTTAATTTCATCTACCGAGAAGGGGTGTGTAAGCATCACTCTATCATCTTCTGATATCTTCTTGAATCGATTTCTAATCAGCTTTGGCCAATCTAGTATTGGTTCATCGAATTCTTAGAAAAGAAGTCAAAAACCTCCTTAGTGAAGCATCATTCTCCCATATACCATCAATAGTGAGCCCGTGAATTCGATTCTTTCGCCTATTATTGTTGACAACCCCATGAAAGAACATGGAGTTCTCATCTCCATCAACATCCCATTTCAACCTCGCCTTCTGTTTAAGATCCATTCTATGAATTGTATTCTTTTTTTCCACAGTTGACGACTAGCCCGCTCCGGTGAAGATAGTGGTCGATCTTCTGCAATCAATTCGATTTCATCAATCTTCACAAGAAGTTCATGGTATTCCTTGCTTTCTTTGCTTTTCAGATCACGCCTCCATTCATTAATCTCATTTTTAGCAGCTATAAGTTTCTTTGCAAATCTCCTGTCAAGAGGTGCCACTAGGATTGGCACTAGACCATGCGTTATGAACAATATCATCCAAGCCATCTAACATAAGCCACGAGTTAAAGAATCTGAAGGGTGAAGGATCAAAATCAACATAATTGCTCACTAAAATAATCGGGCTATGATCCGAGAATCTTCTGGCTAATATTGTGGCAGTAGATAAACCCCATTTATTCATAAAAGCATCACACCCAAGAAAGCGATCCAACTTGCTGAGATTTTTTCCATCCTCGCTAATCCAAGTGTATTTTCGCCCACCAAGACGAAAATCAAAAAGATTGGCATCTCTTACGAAAGCATTAAATTCTTCCATGGACGTATCACAACCCCAATGAATGAAGATACATATGATAAAACACAATTCAAAAATGGTATTACAATTGTACAAAACTACAAATTGAATTCTATAATCATATAGATCTATCCACCAAGAAAAATCTTTACACAAGAACAACAAAGAATTATTCATTATTTCGACAACCCTATCAAATCCAATCCAATCCAAAATCAAGAACTCAAAAACCCAAAACCCAAAACCCAATGATTTTGTCACACAATCTCTGCAATTTTGGGTTTCGAACAAGATGGAGGTGATGAAGAAGCTTGATCGGCATTAGGCGGTGTAATTGGAACCCCAAAAGCTTGTGCATGAGTTCTAATATCTTGTCTTCCTCTTGCCCTTCCTATCAGATAACACCCAACGCCAAGCATCAACGAGAACAGGATCAATGGGAGTGATATCACCACCACCATCGCCATTTTTACTTCACTTTGAAGGTTTACAGAACAGATGATACAGAAAGAAGGAGACGTAGCTCGTAGCTTTAGTTCACTGGTTACACGATGAGCTTGATACCTGATGATTTGCCTGTTATAAAGGATATTATATTTTCATATGTAGTCCTTGTATTTTACGCTACTTTCACTTTAGATCCGTATGAGTTCAATGTTTTAACAATTTTCTACTATACAATCCGAGTTCCATTCGTTTGGAATTATATTATTTGACATTTGTAAAATGGATTGATCATTTTGTAGACATATTTATGCTATCGAAGGTATTTATTTGGTAATATACGTCAGGATTTTTTTCATTTTCTTTGTAAATAAGTATATTCGTAAGGTGTTCATATTAATTATCAAACAAAAGAAGTTTGAAGTATTAATTATTAATTTATTTAAATAATTGTGTTTTATTTTTGCAAAATGGCATTTTTTCAACAAGTACTAACAATTTTTTGTTGTCAAATACAATAATATTTTTGAAAAGATAAGTTTATTGAGATTTTATTTAGTTACTGTTTTTTGTCAATGAAGCAAATTTAAAAAATAATTTGTAGCAGAAAATAATAATACCGAGAATAAAAAGCAAAATATTTTTGTAGATTTTTCTTTTTAATAACGATAAATTATGTGTCAGGTAAAACAAATTGTTGGTTAAAAAAAATAAAATAATAAACAAAAGTTGACTAAAACATACGAATTAACCAAAATCACTTTCTATTATCATGTTTTTAAGATTAAATTTGTAGTGGTGGTGCTAACAAAAGAGATTAAACTTTGTAGGGCTTGGGTGGATTTGTCTAAAAGAGCAGGGGTTTTGATGTAAATATTGTATTGAAAAGACTAAAGGCTGTACAGCTGGCATCTACTTCCAACGGTTCGCGTATGAACGTTGTACATCCCAACGGATAGTTGAGGCTACCCCAGATATTTGGGCCCACCATTTATTGTTTGCACATATTGTTTTAGAGCGAGAAACGCGAGGGTGACGTGGCCGTTCTCGACGCCGTCGTAACGGGGGAACACCGCCCCCCAACTCGTTGCATCTCGTCGTCTGCTTTTCGTTGCCATGGAAACGAAATGTAACGCCAAAAAAAATATCCGTTGTGACTTTAGATCGTTTGAAAACGGTCAAATTCAAACCCAAAAAAAAAATTTTACCTTTATATATATATATATATATACTCATTTTATTTCAAATTTTTTTAAACCTTTATCTCATTTTCTCTATATCTTATACACATATTTTCTTAAAATTTCAAAAAATGGAGCAAAACCCAAACACCTCCCTCCATCATCAAACCCAAACACAACCTCGCCTCTCGGATTTGCGGGGTATGAAAATTATTTCAACCTTTTATCGTCTCAAGGTTCACCACAAATCTCATACCAAGGCGTCGCTTTCAATACCGCTTCACCGCCACTGCAATTTCCCAACTCACTTTACCTTCAACAAAATCAATTTGGTCAAAACCCAAATTTACAACAAAATACTTTCTCTACTTTTGGTTCGATGCAACAAACAACCAACCAACCATCGTCTACAACACAATCATCAGTTCAAGTGGAAGCGGGATGTAGTAAGAAAGGGAAAGGGAAAGGAAAATCGAAAGGGAAATCAATAGCGGTAGAAACAGAAAATGCAGACGTTCCACAATGGTGGACACCGGAGGAGGAATACGTTTTGACGGCGACTTGGTGTGCTACTTCAAAAAACGAACTTCGCGGAAATAGAATGAAAAATGAGCTTATTGGGGGGCGGTGCTCGACAAGTTTCACGCTATTTTAAAGAAAAATTCGTATCGCAACAATGACATGTTGAGCAGCAAATGGGGTATGATAACTAAGCGGTGCATCAAATTCAACGGTATTTACAACCAGCTTGAGGCGCAACAACAAAGCGGAACCAACGACTTTGATTTGTTCAAATCTGCTAAGGAACAATATCGGGTTGAAATGGGTCATGTTTTCGACTTTGAAAAATCATGGGAATTGTTGCGAGCGGATCCAAAGTGGAATAACATCGACCTAAAAATCGGAGGTTCAATCCAAAAGGTCTCGCAATTCTAGCTCGGTCGACGTGTCAGACGCACAGACTAACATCGACCTAAACGCCGACGACGATGAGATCCCGGATGATATCCAAGAAATATCCCCACCACGACGACCGCCCGGACGCGACAAAGCGAGGCGCGCTGCAAGACATGCGGAGGAGGTGGAGACGAGAGCAAAAGAGGCGGCGGAAATGAGAGCGAAATTCGACGAGCACAATTTATTAATAAAAGAAAAAAATGAGTTGAAACATCGTCATTTAGAGTTCCTGGAAAGGCAGACACGGGGGAGAAGCAGGAGCAAAAAGAGAGGGAACTAATGACACATCAGTTGTCAATTCTTCGGACGAGCGAGGAGGGTTTGGCGCCTGCTGATCTAGCGGTGCTACAAGCGATGAAGGAGCAAATTAGGAAGAAATATTTGGGTTAATTAGGATTGTTATATGGTTTCAGTAGTAATTTGAATGATATTTTAGTTATAATATTAGGTTTAAAATTATGTTTTTTTTTAATTGTAATCGTAATTTTAGATTTTAAATATTATGTCTTTTTTTGTTTTTAAAATTTTATGTTTTATAAAAAATATATTCATGTTAGTGATTAAAAAAAATACAAAAAGGAAAAAAAACGAAAAAGAAAAAAAAGTAAAAAAAAAACGAAAAAGAAAAAAAAAACAATTTCGAAAAAATAAAAATAAAAAATAAAACATATTTATTTTCAAAAAGTTGGTGTTGCATATTGTTGCCCATTTTCCCACTTGGTGTTATGACACCACTTGCTTATGTGACATATGAGGTGGCACAACTTGGTGTTGCACCTTGTTGCCCACACCTAATACTCTTAGAAGATCGGATTAAAAAAAAAAGAGTATTCGAATTTAATAATTTGTCAAAATCAGTTATTTTATAATCTCTTATAATAAATTACCGTAATTGTTTTTAAATTACATCTAGATGAAGAAAAGAATGACATGGGAATGAACCCAAAAACAAACGAAAGTATAAGAACTTTTGAGGACTGTGTGAGTTTGTTCATTTTGTTCTTATACAACGTTCTTATGGATCGAACTCAACGTTTTGAGTTTGCAAATCTTATTTACCGTTTTCAGATTTCTGGATTTGAGAATCATGTTCATGAGTTCAGTTTTGATTCTGCAATGTGGTGCAACTCGAAGTTTCCAACTTGATGTGGAAGTAAAGGTTTTTTCTTTTCAAATCAACGCCAAAATCACAAAATTAAAATGGAAAAGCACGTAATGAAGTGATGTTAGGCGCCCTATGAATGACAATCCGAACGATTAATCAAGCAAAATCAATGCCCTTTTTGGCGGACTGGCGGAGCATATGGTTGGACCAGGCCAACAAAATACCACCCATTCCGATCTCATGTCAAGCCAACATAATGCTCAAAGGTGAACTGGTGTAACAAGCGGATAAACATCCGTACCAATCCAATAAACAAAAGTAAGGATGAAAGTGGGTCCAAATCCGACCCGAAAAACAATTAATGAGATTTTGAAGGACTGGAAACTGGACTGGTATATAGGAACCGGTTTCGGTTCGGTTCGGGGTAAGGTACAAGGCAAGTGGGTTCATAACCGGAAAATCTGGAAACGTTAAAGTGGATTGGGTGGAACCGTGTAAAATTGGTCTAGAACCGGAAAACCCGGGAAAACCAGAATTCTTTGGTAATTACTTAGTCGGTTGTACTTTGAAAATTTTCAATTTTGATATCCAAACTTCGGGGGACTGTAAGTCATTGAATATTAAACAAAAATGAATTATGGTCTAAAATCTTATAGAAACTCCAAACTACACGTTAAAAACACTTAATACTAATCCGACTTCAAACGAATTATATATGCATGTTCTAAAATATTCACAAAATAAAAAAAAAGGCTGAAAAACAGAAAATTTCAAACTTTCATCTCTCAACTTTGGGAGACTATAATTCAATGAATATGCAACCAAAAATGACAAAATTAGAGTCTAAATCATGTACAAACTATAAAACACATTGGAAAAACCGCATGCTAATACGATTTCTAACAAATTAGATATGTATGTTTTAAAATTTTCAAAAAAATACAAAAAAACTGAAAATTTCCAGCTTTGATATCCCCGACTTTGGGGGAATATAAGTCATTGAATATAAAACCAAAAATTAAAACATTACAGTCTAAAATCAAGTACAAACTCTAAACTATAAGTTGGAAAAAACTGCATGCTAATTCGACTTCAAATGAATTACATATGCATGTTTTTTGGGGTGTTCGTTTGGATGGATTGGGTTGATCCGATCTGATCAGGTGGATCCAAATTGATTTCATGTTTTCAAAATATAGATCCAAATAGTCCAAACTAAATTCAAATATGATCCGATCCAACCAAATTACAATTCGGTTGGATCGGATTTTACAATTCGGTTTTCTATAGGCAAACATTTTAATAAATATATAACATGAGTATTAGCCCACTCTATAAACGAAATTAAAGATTTTTATTTTAATTATTATTTTTTTATTTTTAATTTGATGTGAATTAAAATTTATAAACAACTACCAAGAAAAATATATTACAGATGAAAAAACTTTTGATAAGAAATATATATTAATGTATTATATTAGATGTAACTATCTAATCTATAAAAAAAAAATAATTTAGTAAATTTATAAATTATTAAAGATATAAATTCAAATAAATAATATACTAAATAAATAATAAATTGTTATTCGGGTTTTTTGGACTATTAAGTTCTTATTATATAAACCAAAACCAATCCGAAATCCAAAATAATAATTCGGTTTTGCTAAAAACTAATTAAAAAATCCGAATATCCGAACAAAATAGTTTGATCTAAATTGTCCAATTGGACAATTTAGTTTTATCCAAATAGTGAACAACCCTATATGTTTTAAAATTTTCTTAGAATACAAAAAAAGTTGAAAAAGATAAATTTTCTTGTTTTGATATCCCAGCTTTGGGAGAATGTAAGTCAATAAATATGAAACAAAAAATGAAAAACTTATAGTCTAAACTCATGTACAAACTTTAAAATAAACGGTGGAAAAAACCACATGCATATCCGACTTCGAACGAATGGGATATGCATGTTTTAAACTTTTCACGGAAACCAGTTTCGACCCCTAAAACTGTTCCGATTCCTAACAATGGTTCTGGTTCTTAAACCTGATTTACCGGGACCTGAAGGACCTGACACTTGGATTACCCGGAACCCGGATAAAACATTTTTTAAACCCAGAACCCGGACCAATTCTACATATTCTGGTTCTAATGTTTCGGGTTCCGGTTCCGGTTTTAAATCCCATCCATAATCTAAAGTACCAATATGGTGAATTTGTGTACCAATCTGATGACCAATGTAGGGTTCTAGCAAAAAAAGTCAATTGCCTGGTGCAACAATCAATTTTTAGGCTTTGTAATTTGCTATCATTTTTGAAGTTTTTTGTGTTTATTTTTAGTTTTTTCCCTTTTATATTAGGATACCTCTTATTATAAATAGAGAAGCTCTTTTCTCATTTTAAGCATAAAATTGATAATAAAAACCATTTTAGAGAATGAAAGAATAATATTTTTACCATATAAAGAAGAGAGATTATTCTTGCATGTTATGATGTATACATTTCTTTTGGTTATTTCCTTTATTATGCAACATTTTTTTTTATCAAAGCCCAACAAAGATGGTGGGATGGGGACAATCCTATTACAACACACCTTTTCATGACGAAGAGCGTGGAGACGAGGAGGGTGATGCATGAGACATCCACAATATCAAAATCAAGAAGCTGAAGTAAGTAATCAAGGAATTCAACAAACCAACTCAAGCACATATGCTCAAACCAGTCATTATCAATAAGGAGACCGCTTATGATTCAAAATTTTAGGAGAGGGAAGAGGAAATATGCATCTTGTTTGGCTGGCGACCAAGATGTCGTCTATGTCAATATCCTCATCGTCGCTATTGGTAAGATGTCGTGTGCATTTTCGGTGTCGTATTGGATATCCTTTAACTTAAATGCAATAAAAGTCCTAATGAATTCATCTAATGGCTTGTCATTGTTTAACGTGTCAAAGAACCCAAAAGTATTGTTGTAGCCATCAAGTTCTAATGTTATACATCATATTTGTGGGATCTCTTGAAAAAACATCACTTGCAAACAAACCAAAGGTCACCACTTGGGAGAAGGTACTAAAGGCCCTTCTTTATAAGTTTTCTACTCACCATTATCTATAAAGAGGTCTTTCTCGATTAATATCAACCATCCTAACATACTCTCTCGATAGAGGAATACATCTATGAGTTTAAGAACCTCTACATGAGATAAAATATTATTGAAGAACAAGAGCAAGTGATTGTATGCTTTTTATGTGCTCTTCATACCTAAATTGATGACATGATAAGTTTAAAACTTATTTTGCTTATAATGATGTGTGTCAAATTTTCTTAAAACCAATAAACAATGAATGACTTGAGGCAAAAATATCAAGGGTTGTTATGTGACAAGCCTAAAACACGCACCACCATATACAACCAAACCTATAGTTGAAAAGTCCAACAAAAAACCCCCCACAATGACCTAAATTGTTATGCGGCCAAAAACAAACCAAACCAGATCATACTCACCCTTATAATATGGATATCACACATTTTAAGTGAAACACGAATCAAAAGAATGTTACGCTCTCGTAAATTATAGATAATTCAAAATGGTGATCTTAAAAGAAAATAATAACTTGTTTTATATAGATAAAGAGTATAAATAAATTAAATAAATCAAACTTACATCAAGTTTTTCCACATGGATAAAAAAATAAGGAACTTGAGCATCTTATTAGTTTTAAGTTATGGATTGATCATGTTTTTAGTTTTAATGAAAATAATCAACTTGATTTTCCATATGTACCTAAGGCTATGAATTGGTGGGGATTTATTGCATCAAGTACACAACTCAGAGGTAACATAATTATCAAAAGATATACCTAAGTGTACATGCATCCTAGAATCTATGTTTTTCTAGTTGTAGCAACCTACTTTGAAAAATAACCAAAGTAAAGGATTACTAACCTCAAATTCATTTCCTTGAGATATTGTACGTGCCAGTTTGTTGCAAAGATAAAGGATCCAATAGAGCACCCCTCTAATGGAATCAGACCTATAACACCAAAAAGCAAAAAAGATTTAACCCAAGTTCGGGTTTATTCGAATCACCAAACCCTAGGAGAGTGGATGTGATTTTCATCCAAGGAGAGAGAGATATATACAAAGGTTGGACGATTTCCGGAGAAATAAAAAACTGTCTCTACGGTTTACCTTAACAGTCTATTTATAGTTCAACAAGGAGTATTCCACAAGGATACAAACTCTAAAGTTTATCCTTATCTGAATCACACCAGTACCCAACTCATGATGATATCGCCATCTTTTACACGATGTCGGACATAATGATACTTCTTATGAATGTGTCTCGAATTACCATGGTCCTTGGATTCTTTAGTCAAGGAGACTACACGCTCGTTATCACAAAAGATCTTCATAGGCTCTTTGATGCTTGGTACAACTCCAAGATCACCGGTGGAGTTCTTTAACAATGTAGCTTCGTTTTCTATTTCACTAGCCGTAATGTACTCAGACTCGCATGTTGAATCTGTCACCGTCTTCTGTTTGGATCTTTTCCATGTAACAACCCCTCCATTAACCATACATACTCATCCCGATTATGAGCACGAGTTGTCTCTAACAGTCTGGAAACTTGCATCAATGTAACATGTAACTCTTAATTCTTTTTTTCCAACATATACCAAGAACATATCCTTAGTTTTTAGATACTTGAGGATATTCTTTACGGCCATCCAATGACTATCATCATGATTCTATTGATATTGACTCACCATGGTAAGAGTATATGAGATATTAGTTCTAGTACATTCTATGACATACATGATCGATCCTATAGCAGAAACATATAGGATACAACTCATCTTATTCAGTTCTTGTTCAGTTATGGGCGATTGATCTTTACTCAATCTTATGTCATGTTTCTTGGGTAGATACCATTTCTTAGAATCTTGCATGATGAACCTTTTTAAAACCTTATATAAGTATATACTCGAGATTAGTCTAATTAAACATTTAGATCGATCTCGATAGATCCTAATGCCAAATATGTAAGCCGCTTCTCCTAGATCCTTTGTAGCAAAACATTTTCCAAGCCAATTTTTGACACTCTAAAACGTTGGAATATCGTTTCCTAAAAGGAGTATTACATCAACATATAACACTAGGAAGACCACATTACTCCCACTGGATTTGACATATATGCAAGATGTTGGATTAGTGTCTAACCCCGTAACTATATTTAGTAAGTACTTGACCCGGTTGTGCATGGTCCTTTTGGGTTGCCTTCACCAAAGCAACATGATAGGGTGATTTATCAAGTGAGAGGTTATTATGGTTTATTAATATATTATATGAATAATATATTAAAGGAGAAATCACATAGTTTAATTAATATTAGACAAGAATTAATTCATAATCTGTGACTAAAAGACATTAATTAAATAACGGGGACTGTTAGGCGTGTCAAACCCAACAAATAAAAGGTACAAATGACTCCTTAAACACTACTACTATGCACTAAAAACGTAGTACAAGGTAAGTAGGGTCGATCCACAGAGACACGGGACAAATGTTTATACCTTTTTGCGTAAGGTACAAAAATGGTCACAAAATGGGGGGAATTTATAAGCAATGATTTAAACTATAGAATAAAGCAATAAGTAAATGATTGATTAAGTGAAATAAGTTCAAGATTTGTAAGTACTCCAACTCTATGCAAGACAAATTAGCAATGTGATTCCATGGATGACAAGATATTTGTTTAATTCTATCTAAGTTGGTACTTGAAAGTGTTAACAAGCTCTAACACTTCCCATTCACCACAATAATTAACCAAAACAAGCTCTTTGATTAATCCTAACCTTACCAATCTAATCTAAACAAACTCTTAGAATTAGGTTGAAAGATTGCATTAAACTTTATGTGAATGTTCCCAAAAACACTCAATACTCATCATAAGCTCGGGAACATAAGAATGTGTGAATAAGATTTACACTAGATTTATTCAAAAGAATTCAATTTAGTGCTTGTTACCTAGTCCAATTTACAAAACAATTACAGATTTTGCAATTAGATAACTTGAATGATCTAACCCTAATTCAAATGGCCAATAAGAATCACAATTAGAATCAAACATTCGATTGAAACAAAATCAAATTCACTAGATAGAAAATTGAAAGAAAACATCAAGTCATATGATTGAAATCACAACTAGAAGTCAAGACATAAAGTTGGAGAATCTAGGGTTCTAGCCACTCATGACTAGAACAAGATCACAAATCTAGAAAATGAAATTAAAGTTCTTACAAAATGAAATCAAATATTCCCAAGTGTTAATCAACTTCAAAATCCTCAAGAAAATCGCCTTCTCTACTCCAAAAGTCGACCCCCAAAGTAAAAAGTCGGTTCCCCCCTTTAAAAATGGTGAAAAACTGCTTTAAAACCCGCATTTACGTTTACACGGCCCGCGTAAATTAACACTGTCATTTACATGGCCCGCGTAAACGCAAAAATATACTGTGCAGAAATCTACGTTTACACGGCCCGCGTAAACGCAAGGCTTGCATTTACACGGCCGTGTAAATCTCTGTAAAACCAAAATCTTCATTTCTTTGATATCTTGCTCCTCGGTGCTCCGCAAGTCCTGAAATTTTGTCCGCAACTTTTATTTACCTCCTCCAACAATATCCTACCTCCAAAAGTCCCTGAAATATCACAAAAGTATTTGAATGAAATTGCCTCATGAAAAATCCCGAAAAACATGCAAAATGCATGAGTTTAAGCCTATATGCAATGTACTTTTATGAAATAAAGCTACAAAATGGGTACATGAAATGCACCTAACAGGGACTTAAACTGTCAAATGTGTGATAGTTGAGTATTGGGCTGAGAAGGCTTATGGACTAGGCTTAGACGAAATTAGGGATGTGTCCATCCTAATTTCGGCCAAAGAGGCCCTATTCCAGAAGCTTCCATGGACTGCTTAAGGCCTAAGCTATCCATTAGGGTTTTGACAGAAACCCTAGCAGCACCAGTATAAATAAGACCCCAGGGCATCCAATTTTCGGCCACTTGAACCCTAAGAGTCTTCATAGCCGAAATTGTGCCCATTCCCTCTCTCTTAGTTAGCATCCTCTTGCTTGTAGTGTTTGTAAGCCATTAGAGGAGTGACATTTGTGACTCTAAGCTCCAAGACAAGAAGATTCAAGCTACTGTTGAAGAGGTAATCATCTAGATCTGATTTCTTATGTTAATTTCGAAATATGTATGCTAGATCTAGGGTTTATAAGTCTTGGATGAATTTCATGTACAAGAGAGAAACCTAGATCCAAGCTTTAAGGTTTGCATGAGCACATAGGATGTTCTTTTGTATAAAACCCATCAGTGGTATCAGAGACTTGAATGGTTTCTATTGTATTGATGCTTTGTGTTTTCATTCATGCTTTGAAAATTCGTTTGTTTTGGCCTTCTGACAAACAAACTCGACGAGTTCCAATGAGAAGTCGACGAGTTGGAAGAACTCGACGAGTTCACATTGGGAACTCGACGAGTTTAGCTGTCAGGCAGAGGATATCTCAGGATTTCTTGCTGTTTTGCTGAAGGATAATTACCTAAACTGTTTTTAACTAATAAAATCTGATTTTTATTGTTATCATATGATTATCCTTACCAAAACAATAGATAATTACCATTTAATTGAATAATAAATTCCTT